GGGCACCCGAAACAAGGAAGGGGAATAGGGGGGCCACACCCATGTTGCGAAACCCCCCGGGGGGGCAGGGCCCCCACCTCCTCGCAGAGAAGGAGCCGTGAGTCCAGGAGGACCCCCAAATTATGCACTGGGTCTGTCTGGGGCAGGGCTAACCCAACCAGCACCAACGATGACAATGTCCCAGATACAGAGGAGCCATTAACCCACAGCCACTCCGTCTTACCAAGGTTCAGCTGGAGCCTGTTGTTCCCCATCCAGACCCTCACAGCCTCCAGGCACCACGTAGGCTAGAAGATGCCAATAGAGCCCTCACAAGAATCCCTACTACCACCATAACTGAAACCAATGAACTGGTATACAGTATAGCAGCTGTAATCCTGGAGATGCTTGGCTACATGATCAAGAAGAACAGCAGTAAATACCCCCCCTGCCCCCGCCTAAATAAGGTTGTAGGCTAAGATCAACAACTTGGAGACAAGTTAGTCAGCTGGTAGAACTACAGAAGAGTGGGGAGATCAAGGATAAGACTCAGCTATTGAAAAAAATACAAAGGCCTGACTCCATCTGAAGCCCTAGAGACTGCTAAACAAAGGCTCACAGCACTGGCAACCACGCTAAGGAGATAAACTAGAGAAGCAGAGGCCAAGAAGATAAACGCCCTGTTCTCCAAAGAACCATCCAAGGTTTACTTCCAACTGCAGTGCAACAACGCAATAACAGTAGAACCCCCCAAGAGCAGAAACTGAACAATACTGGAAGAACACATGGGAGAAAAAGAAGACACATAACACCAGTGCAGAGTGGCTGCAGGACCTGTGAGCAGACCACAGCAATCTCCCAGAACAGGAACCAGTCACCATCTTCAGGCCCAGACCAAGAACAACAGGGAAACAGTCCAGTTGAGTAAAGTTCTTTTATTTGCTAACACCTTATAGACAGAATCTTGCCAGGCTAAATCTATACTACTGCAACAAGTGGATATACCCTGGGAGATTCTAGGGAGTCGCCGTCCTGAACCTCTTTCACTTCCCACACTCCACCTGCGGACTATATTTTCTTTTGTCTCCTTTCTTCTCCTGGAATGCAGCCCCTCCTTTCAGATAGCCTTGATATCACATCACTCTCCTCTTCGCAGATACATTCCATCACACCATCATAGTAGCAGATATCCAACAGCAGGACTAAAACATGAGGATCTGGACAGCACCTGGCCTGGAGATGACCAACACCTACTGGCTAAAGAAACGAACAGCAGTGCATGAATGCCTAGCAGCACAGATGAACCAGCTGCTAGCAGCAGGCTCCCACCCAGACTGGGTAACAGAAGAAAGGACAGTGCTGATCACGAAAGACCCCCACAAGGGAACAGCACTGGCTGTCTACCAGCCAATAATCTGCCTCCCCACAACATGGAAAGTCCTATCAGGCATCATAGCTGCCAAGCTACAGGACCATATGGGCCAGTACATGAGCACAGTTCAGAAGGGCATTGGGAACAACACCAGAGGTTGAAAACACTAATTGCTCATAGATCGATCTGAACACAGCCTGGATTGACTACAGGAAAGCCTACGACTCAATGCCACACATATGGATCTGTGAATGCCTGGTGCTATACAAAGTCAACAGGACACTAAGGACCTTCTGCAAGAGCTCAGTGGGACTGTGGAAGAAACACTGGAAGTCAACTCAAGAGATCTTGCACAAGTGGCCATCATATACCAAGGTCCCCGCTGCTGTTCTGCATAGGCTTGAACCCTCTCAGCCAGATAATCACAAGGACTGGATACGGATACAAGC